CCTGCAAAGCAAGCTTTTCTCTCCCTCTGTCCCTGACACACACACTTACATGCTCTCTAATGTGAAAAAGATAAAAAATAAATAAAAAAAAAACCTTTAAAAAATTTAAAAATTTTACAATAAAACTGGGAAATAGTCAAAGTATTGAATCAGAATTAAAATATAAAATCACAGCCTCATTTAAACTATCTGTGCTCCTGAAAGACAGGCTGAGCCTGGAAGTAAAAATACCTAGTTAGCTGACACAACAATCCACGTCTGTTTCTTTCCCCATCAACGTATTCAGCAAACGTAATGATCGAGTTTGGCTGCATTTTCATCCCTCTTTTCAACTTTTATATTCACATGAAATTAATGAACATCCAACTCTGTGTAAAGCGAAGAGGCTGGGGAGTGGGAAACCTCTTAGCCACACAGACAAAGCCCATTTATATTTGGGCTTTGAAACTCTTATTTGAATTCTGATTTACGGGTATTTCTTCTTGGCACCCAGCTTGTATTTAATTTTTTGTTCCAAATGTGGTTTGAAAGTGATTGGTAGCAATGGAACGATTTTCAAAGGTGGACAGGAAAGGGTGAAAGGAAAGAAACATAGGGTCTGCTAATCCAACAGTCAAATAATTGACCCACGAGTAATTAAAAGTTGGCCGAGGTTGTGGAAACAAGACTGCCCCTCATGTGATGGCAGTCCCAAGTCTCCTTTGTAGTTTTTGGATGTGAGGCAATGAGCCAAATGTTCTGTCTAAACTGTTTGGGAACTGCTTTTAAGTTTGGCACTCCCGGAGAGGTATTACGTGACAAGTTGTTGCTTCAGAGCTCCCAAATGGCACAATGGGCTCAAACAATTGGAGCTTGAGTTAGAACCATGGACCTGCAGGAAGTGGTTCTAAACTGGTTTTCTACCTCCAGCCATTTCTATGTCAGCATAGTCTCTTTAATAACATGTCTGTGACAGGAAGGGCAGTTTGAATAAGCTCCTCTTCCCTAGCTCTGTGTTGCCCTTTCACCCAGCATACATATGTTCTGGGTTTTGAGTGAAGGACCATGTGGATATAAATCATATCCTTAAATGGATTATATACAATTGATATTTAGTTATCAATTTTATGTATGTATATATATAATTATATATAATTGATTATATATAATGAATTTATATATATATACATATACATATGTATATATATAAAAATGATATAATAACCCAGTCATTTCTTCTTGGCCAAGTCCAGCTTTCAGCCATAAACTTGTGAAATGACCTTTAGTGTGGTTGTGCAGTGGATTAGATGTCTCTGTAAAATGTACCATCCAGGGACCAGCAGTTGGCGTAGTGGCTGTGTTGCTGGACTCCCATGTAGCCAACCGCAATTCGACTCCTGGACCCGGTGGCTTAAACTCATGCCAGGCGCGTGTGCGTGCATGCCTAGGATCCCGAGGAGAGGGACTGCGATGTGGCCATCCACCCTGGGAAGGTGATTTCTCGCTTCCTGTCTCTCTGTCTCTGTCTTCTGGCAAGCACACTCGCCCTATAGCAAAAACCTCTCAAAAAATAAAATAATAAAAGATGGACCATCTATACTCTGTTGAGGATCTGAGGATGAGTTACACTGGAAGAATATTCAAGAAAAGAGCCACCATTTTCATCCCTGTCATTATGAGAGAAAGCTGCCCAGATCCAATGTAGTCCTTGTTGAAGTGCCTCACTCCTTTGTTCAAAGAGATAACCTTTATATATAATGCAAGGGGACTTTAAAAAGTTGGTGGGAAAAATGGAATTAAAATATGCGTTTGTTTTAGTGCAAAAAAAATTTTAAATGTTACATAGGTTTTTATTATTTTTGTATTACACATTTCTCATGTGAAGACCCCTCAAATACAGATGTTCTGAAAAAGAGAGAAAGAATGAGTTTTATGTCCAGATTTGAAAATCTCTGCCTACAACCAACTCCATTATGGAGATGAGCAAAACACATTTGCATGTTCCAAAGATCTGAGATGCCCTCTAGTTAAAAAGACCTGTTTAGCTTTATTTAATTCAGCCTGTCCTGAATTTCTTGACCATGGGATATTTTAATATTACTGCTGAATAATCTTCATTCTTTTTTTCTTGCAAGAGCTCAGAACATGTGACATGTGATTTTCCTTTTTATTGCTTTGCTATATGGAATACTACTGAATTACCATTTACCTAACTAATTTAGTCCAAAATTGTGCCACCAAAACCTTCAGCTATAGAATTCCAGCGGGCATTTCAGAGGCAGACTCAACATAGTAATAAAATACTTTTTTAAAAAATCAGTTCTAGGTTATTAAGTTATGAGGAGATTCAACTAGCTATTTTTGTATTTAAAGGGCACAATTTCTTCCAATGGGAAGACTCACATAGAAGGTCAAATTATAACCACTGGTGTACTTGGTGAACATGAAATTAAAACAAGTAGAGTTGACTGTGTGTTCTGAGCAGCCATCAACATCCAGCTACCTTGGGACCAGCAGTTAGCGTAATGACTGTGTCTCTGAACTCCCATGTAGTCGACCACAGTTCGAGTCCCAGACCCAGTGGCTTAAACTCACGCCAAGCGCGTGTGCATGCGTGCCCAAGATCCCGAGAGGAGAATGGAGGAGAAGGGATTGTGGTATGGCCATCCCTCCTGAGGGGTGATTTCTCGCTTTCTTTCTCTCTGTCTCTGTCTTTCTGGCAAGCGCACACACCCTATAGCAAAATAAACTCTCAAAAAAAAAAAAAAAAATCCAGTTGACATGACCTTTGCATTTGTCTCTACCGAAAGACAGATATATCCCAGTAACTGGGCATGGTTGCTCCTAAGACAATGCTAGAGATTTGTCCCCTTTCCATTTGCCTCACTGACTCTTAATTTCTTTTTTTTTCCCAATAAAATAATAGATGCACATAATTTTTTAAGAATTACTTTATTTAATTTTATTTATTTATTTACTTATTTTAATTTGGTCAGAGAGGAAAGAGCAAGAGAGAGAGAGAGGGAATATGAGAAAGTAAGCCACCAGGTCCAGGACTCAAACCATGGTCAGCCATGTGGGAGTCTAGCACCCTTAACCACCATGCCACCTGCTGGCCTCCATAATTTTTTTTTAAAAAAAAGCACTAAAAAAAATCTGTCTCTTGTTCCATCTTTTACTTTCCACAATGTAGATTCTATCTTTTAAAAAAGTTTTTTTTTACCATTTTTTGGACATTTCTTCTAATAGTCAAATCTATGGTATATGCCCTATTTAAATGATATACTCTTTTTTTTTCTTTCTTTTTTTTTTTTTTTTACTAGAGGGCACATGTGCTTACCACAGAGAGAGGAGATAGGGAGGAAGAGAGAAAGCATCCCCCAGTAGGGTGTTGTCACACTGCAATTCTTTTCTCCATTTCTCCATCCCATCCCATTTAGGCATGCATAAATACATGCCCGTTGTGTTTTTTTTTTTTTTTTTTTTTGGAGAGATTTTCACTGTAGGGCGCGTGCGCTCGCCAGACAGACAGAGAGAGACATAGAGACAGAAAGCGAGAAATCACCCCCCAGGGGGGATGGTCACGCCACAATCCCTTCTCCTCCATTCTCCTCTCGGGATCTTGGGCACACACGCACACGCGCCCGGCGTGAGTTTTAAGCCACCGAGTCCAGGATGTGAACCGCGGTCCGACTACGTGGGAGTCCAGCGACATAGCCATTACGCTAACTGCTGGTTCCCTCCCGTTGTGTTTTTCAAGCTGTTGGGTCTGGGATTCAAACCACAATTGACCACGTAGGATCTAGCCCTCAGCCCACAGTGCTTTAACTACTGTACTACTTGGTCAGCCCTGAATATTTCTTAATGTGCTTATTTTATATATTATTTATTAACATCTCTTTATTCTTCATAAGGATTCAGTTTATTATATTTTCCTTCATATTTTGCATCTCTCAAGAGTCCATCACAGGAAATAGAGTAATTCTAGCTATCTCAAGCAGAAAGAGATTTTATATAGAGAATTAGGAACTGAGAAAATCATTTAAGGAAATGGACTAGCAGGATCTAGGCTGTAATTCTTACTCCGAGTCCTTGAATGGGATAAGATAGTGGGCTGAGTCTTTACTGAGGCATAATTTACATACAATATAATTTACAATTATATGAATAACTCAATGAGTTTTGACAAATTTGTACCATTATATAAGCTGTACATTATTACCTTCAAGATATTAAATAGTCTGTCACCCCTAAAAGTTCTCCCATACCTCATCCCCTGTGCCCTCCTCAAGCCCCCAGCAACCACTGATCTGTTTCTTTCACCTTTTCTACTTTTGACGTGAATTGAATCATATAGTATGTGGTCTTTTGTGTCTGGCTTCTTTCTCTTAGCATAATGTTTTTGAAATCCATCCATGTTGTTGTACATATTCGTAGTTTGTTCGTTTTTACTACCGAATAGCATTTTGGTTGTAGGGATATACCATAATTTGCTTTCCCATTCACTAGCTGATGGACATTTGAGTTATTTATCATTTTTGCCAATTATGAACATTCACCTGGAGTTTTTTGGTGTGGGCACATGTCTTCATTTCTCTTAGGTAAATATCGAGGAGAGAGATTGTTGAGTTTTATGGTGAGTAACTTTATAATTTTCAAACTATTTTCCAGAGCCCTGTGCCATTTTTCATTCCCATCAGTACTGTAAGAGTCAGTTGCCCCATATCTTCAACACTTTGTACGAGCAGCCTTCTAGGTTGAGACTTTATCCTTGTGTCCCTGATCCCCAAATGGCTAGCCCTTACATTTTTGCATTGCATGGCCAGCCCTAGGCCTGCTTCCCTATGGTAGAACAATGATACATGTATGGATCTACTAGATGATGATGTCCAGATGAAGGCATGCTCAATGTTCAGCTGAACCTGATGACAGATACAAAAAGATTATTGATCATGTTCATGACTGGACCCTTACAGGATTTTTAAGTGGCATACAGAATAATGTTGATCATTCTCTTTCAGGCTATTTGATCATTCTATGGAAGGATTTAAAAACTGGGAGTTTATGACCATTCACTGCTGGGGAGAACGAGCTGCTGGTGACTGGGTCCTGGAAGTTTATGATACTCCCTCCCAACTGAGAAACTTCAAGACTCCAGGTGGGAACTTCCTTTCTATAACTCATCTTACTGTAAAGAAGAAAAAAAATGTCATTTATTTTAACCAAAGAGTCTTTCACACTCATATGTCAGCATCATCTTTTTTTTTCATGTTATTCTTTTCATGGGTGCTTCCAGTTGACTGCATATATTCTAGTTGTTAAGACTGCTGTTTGAGAGTTAATCATTTAAGGATAAGAAATAAAGAGTACAGGGTGGGGGCTGGCAGCAGTTAGCGTAATGGCTATGTCACTGGACTCCCACGTAGTCGACCGCGGTTCAAGTCCCGGACCCGGTGGCTTAAACTCAGACCAGGCGCGTGTGCGTGCATGCCCAAGATCCCAAGAGGAGAATGGAGGAGAAGGGATTGCGGTGTGGCCATCCCCCCAGGGGGGTGATTTCTCGCTTTCTTTCTCTGTCTCTCTCTGTTTGTCTGGTGAGCGGACGCGCCCTATAGCAAAAACCTTTCCCAAAAAGAAAGAAAGAAAGAAAGAAAGAAAGAAAGAAAGAAAGAAAGAAAGAAAGAAAGAAAGAAAGAAAGAAAGAGTACGTATTTAGAAATAACTACAGTACAGACTTGACAGCTGCTGATTGATGTTCCAGAGCACACAATCCACTCCTCAAGCCAGCTTCCCAAACTTTCTTTGTCCATGAACAAGGCAGTGTTGTTCACCTGGAGTAGGTTCGATTGCACAAGAAAAGACAGAGTTCCTTAGTTTCTTTTTTGTTTTTTAAGTTTTCTCTAAATTTAATTTTCAGTTTAGGCAGGATGTTGAGTTTGGCCTATGCCAGCTAATCTGGTTACAACCAAAGAAAATGAATGATGGTATTCTGCCCTGTGTGAGCCCAAGAGCCAAGGAAAAAGAAAACTCTCTTGATACGTAAAACATGGACATTACAGTGTTCACAAGGGTCTTTTCAGGTAATCTCAGACTCTGTAGCAGCACATGGCCCGTTTCCCTCTTCATGGTAATGTAGGACACGTGTTTGTAACACCAAATGCGGGAGAATCCACGTGCGGCCTGTGTGGGAGATTGTGCTACTCTGCTTGCCCATGAGACAACCTCATGGAGTCCTTGGCTCAGTAGCAAAAGATCTGTGTGTTCAGACTATCCAGCTTTCCACCCATCCATGGACACATCTTCAGCCATCAGAAAACGTCTTTCTTCTCAATGTTTGTCTAGTCCTTCTGCAGCAGAACCAGGCTTGTGGGAAACTTTAGGACCAACATCCAATTGTAGCCTTCTGCTGATGATTGAATAAATGGCCCTGGACATTCTGTAGTTATAAGAGTATGTGTCATGCAGATATAGCCAGCTGCATAGGACAAAGGAGCCACATAGTTCAAACATAGGAATAAAGCACACATTTGTCAGGCTTTTGCCCATGCATATGTGGGAAAGTTACTCATCTTGAAAGACCCGTTTTTTGACCATACATGTTGGTTATCTCTTTTCTCCAATTCTGTGATACGGTTCATACGTGGTGCCACAGTGGTCCCATAATCAATGTGGTCAAAACCAGAGTGGTGGCCAGGTTATGATGAATCCCAGTAAACATTTTGTTAAAGAATATCTATGCCCAGCTTACCACTAGCATACAGGCTGAATATAATGGCTGCCAAGGTTTTATCCAAAAACGAACCATTTGTTAGCAAGGTAGGGTTGATAGAGAAGACATTTGGACTTTAGACCACTGTTTCTAGACACTTTCACTTCTTCATTACCTACTTGGTTCCCAGACGAGGAAGGACCTTTCCTCCTCTTCTCAGTCCATGCTTATGGCTCCTATGTGGAGACACAGTACCTTGGGGACTGGTGACTTGGCCCTAAGCAGGTATTACTATAGAACTCCTATATGTCAAGAGATCCCAGAGAAATGGACATTGTCAAAATCTGGCAGTTGCATACCTGTGGAGGTGCAGCCATGAAGGGTGCGTTACCTGTTGAGAATTTTAAGCAGTAACAAAACTGATTAAAAGTGACTCTACTCGTCATTGTCACCAGGCACCAGCACTTCCGTTCCTCCCTGCGACAAGAACAGACTGCTCCTAGGAGCATACCGCTTGTTAACCAGGCATTGCATTCAAGGGGCTTGGAATATAAATCCCTCTGCCTTCGAGCTCTATCCAGAGCTTACTAAGGTCATCCGTGTTAAAATCTCTCTGCAGTATCCCAGATAAAGTAGAATGATGTATTTCACAACATTGGCTTCACATTGTATTTGAATACTCACATTCAACCCCAGTTGCCTCCAATCATTGCAGAGAGATTCTTTTTATGCCAGAAGAGAGCCTCCCGAATGCTACACTGGCCAGGAGTCAGAGCCTTTAATAGAAACGTAGGTCTTTGTGTATCCTTCCTTCAACCAAACTTTCATTTTAGGATTAGCCATACCTTTGGTAAGGGACTTCCACTTTTCCATGAACTAGTGTGTTTGCATGTGTGCACGGATGTGTTTCTAATATTGTTTCTATGGTGTACAGTCCTGTGATTTTTTTTTCTCTCTGGTAAGTCAAGGATTTCTTTAGTAAACTACTAGAAATTTAGTTGGAGGTGTACAATTTTTCTAGCCCAATTAAATGGTAGAATCATCTTCCAATACAGAGGTTCCCTATACCAAACAAAGTTTATATTTTTTTATTGTTGCTTCCTATTTATTATTAAAATGCAAAGAATTTTAGGTGGTTGTTTTGGATTTTGTGCACATAATGACATTGACAGATTGCTTTTCTGCATTCACAAGTTAGATGAATTTTTCTCATTCTATATTTACATCATTATTTCTTTTCTTTTTTTTTGGGGGGGGGGAGAGGTTTTTGCTATAGGGCACATGCGCTCGCCAGACAGACAAAGAGAGACAGAAAGACAGAAAGCGAGAAATCGCCCCCAGGGGGGATGGCCACGCCACAGTCCCTTCTCCTCCATTCTCCTCTTGGGATCTTGGGCATGCATACACACACGCCCAGTGTGAGTTTTAAGCTACCGGGTCCAGGACTCAAACTGCGGTCGACTACATGGGAATCCAACGAGATAGCCATTACACTAACTGCTGGTCTCATACATCATTATTTCTTAATACTGTGTTTCAGTATCAATTCCAAACTCTTCTGTAGAACTTAATAAGTAGAGGGCTGGCCATGTAGCCTAGTGGTTAAGGAAGCTGTATCCCACATGGCCAGCACAGTTCAAATCCTGGCCCTGGTAGCTTGAAAAACACGTTGATGCTGGGTGCATATAAATGTGCGTCCTGAATGCCAACGGGATGAAAAAAATGGAAGAGAAGGGATTGCCATGTGACCATACCCCACCAGGGGGTGCAGCAAATAGAAAATGTGGAAGAAGGGGATAAATGATGCCCCAAATATGGTAGTATTTGATGTGAATCATGGCAGAGGTTCTAAGGAAATAAAATTACATAATAAAGGAAAAATAAAGACATGAATTGCCCAGCAAGGATATCTCTAGTGGGTTTATGATGTACTTCAGATATACCCAAAGGGAAATAACTTAGAAATAGCACTGTTCACAGTACTTAGAAGGGTAAAATTTTAGATCCAAAATGATCATAAGTAAAACGAACCAGGTTTTAGGGTGGACGATGGATGGACTGACATAGAGTCATGTCTTACATACTCCATCAATCCACTGGTGATTATTGCTGCTCACGGATGACAGAACCTGACAGCTGGAGTTCATGCCTCTCTGAGATAATCCCAGACCCTAGCCCCTCACCACAGCTGGATCCCATGCATTAAGTCAAGAGGAGAAGAGTTTGGAGAGGGGATCCCCCCTTCCCACCAGCATATGTCCATGGTTTGCGATGATTTTGTCTTAATCACTTCTGTTTATGATCAATTTGTTTAGTATGACTCAAGCTTAAGGACATGAAGCAATTTTTTTCTTCTTTTTCTCTGCTTTAACTTTCTGTAGTGAACACTTTAATTTTACAAGGCTAAGAAATAAATTAATAGGACCAACTCCAAGGCCTATTAGTTAAGGGAACTGGATGCCACATGGCCAACTGCAGTTCAAATCTCAGCCTCAGCAGCTTGAAAAACATGTTGGGTGTGTGTACCCATGCCCAAGTTCCCAATGGGATGGAAAAGAAGGGATTGCAGTGCGAACATGCCCCATTAAGGGAGTGCTTTCTCCCTCTCCCTCTCGGATGAATGCACACACCTCTGGCCAAAAGAAAAAGAAGAAAAAGGCTAAATTAAAGTAAAATGCTCTTTGTGAGTCATGCAAAGCAGGTGCAATATTTATAGCAGAATATTACACATGAACGGAAGTGTTCCATACCTGTGCTGTCCAGTGCCGTGGCCTCTAGCCACATGTGGCTATTGGTTACTGTCACTGTGGAACTGAATTTTTCAATGTTAGTTCATTTTAGTTCACTTAAATTTAAACAGCCTAACATGTCTAGGGGCTGTCATATAGAACAACATCGGTCTATAGTTTAAATTGTGATGTATTAATTTTGAATGACTAATTCAGGAAGTAGATGGGATAAAGAGGCATTTTGTCTATTAATGAGTCAGAAAATGCCACAAAAAAATTTTAAGAGATTTTTGTTGTAGGGTACATGTACTGACCAGAGAGAGAGACAGAAACAGTGAGAGGGAAAGTGAGAAAATACGCCCCCCAGGAGGGATGACCACTCTGCAGTCCCTTCTCCATTCTCCTCCTGGGACCTTGGGCACACACAAACATGTGTCTGATGTGATTTTCAATCTACCGGGTCTGGGACTCAAACCATGATCGGCCATGTAACCACCACGCCATCTGCTGACCCCCAAACAATACAAAAATTTTTAAAAGCTCATGTAAGGCATTTAGAAAAACAAAGCGTTTTCATAAAATTCTGAGATTCTCTTAAATACTCATAATTTGAAATTCAGCCCTTGATTCAACCATCAGAGGTATGTTTATTTTTCAGTCTTTCTTTAAGTGCTGATTAAATCAAGGCTTCTCCTGTAGGAGGACCATAGCAGGATCAGTCACCGTGTGGTGTGTGGATTGTTAAATAATTCTGCAAAGGATGGAAAGTACGCATTTCTAGCCCTGTATCTGGTGCAGTGATTTGTATTAATCTGCTTCCTGCCGTGTTACTGTTGATTTTTCTTGTTTGAGAAAAGACTTAAAGAAGTCATAAAGTTAAAGAGAAAAATTTAGTCATACTGTGATCTCATTACTATTTTCAAGGTAAATTGAAAGAGTGGTCTTTAGTCCTCTATGGCACCTCCGTGCAGCCGTACTCACCAACCAATGAGTTTCCTAAAGTGGAACGCTTCCGCTATAGCAGAGTCGAAGACCCCACAGATGACTATGGTACAGAAGATTATGCAGGTGAGCGGCTTCTGGTGGGACACAAACTAAGGAGAGAAAGCCCACGCGTCATCTCCACAACCTCTGTGTGACTGGGAGGTCATATCATATCATATTATAATGTCCTACCCATGTTCTGATACATTTTCTTCCGCCTTATTTTCCATGTGTGTATTCATGCGTTCAAGTATCCCTAGATGTTGTCTACAAAGCTCATACTCCGTGCCGTGTTTGTACGACAGCGTATTGCACTCCGCAGTCTGGGACTTGCAGTTTGTTTGGAGTTTTACATTATTTTAACTGAGGTTTGGCTGAACATCATTATTTATTAGTCTGTCCATATCTTCAGTTTATTTTTAGAGTAGGATTTTTTCCTGAGATTTACTACATCAAAGGAGATAGTCAGTACTAGGGCTTGGAAACATTTTGTTATGTTGCTATCCAGACGAGACGTGCCCGTCTATCCTGTGACTGACTAGCTGTGTGCTTGTTTATCACACTCCATTTTGCCAGGGCTCACTAGAGAGAAAAAGGGGGGGGAAAGAAGAAAGAAACAAATGTTTTTATTAAAATTTTTATAGCTTTGATTGCTGGTAAACCTAAATGTTTTTTCGCTGCCATCCTCCAAATTAAATACAATTGTATCTAAATATTCTGAATCTTGTTGCTTTTGTAGTAGAAAATATTCCATGCTTTTTACTCGTGTTTGCGGGCATGTAGGAAATCTATTGACTATTATTGCATATTTACCGTGTAACTAACCACTTTGCTTAACTCTCACTAATTTATATGTTTTAGAGTTGATTTTCTGGAGTGGTCTAGGTACTGTAGCCTTTTCATCTATAAATTTTGGTTGTTCTTACTATATTTCTGAGTCCCGTCTTGTTTTATTAGCTACCACTCCTAAGAGCATGTATACCATTCAAGATATGCTATACATCACTTAATGGACAAAGCTTCTCCTAGGGATAGGACCAGCAGATGGAGTAATGGTTACATTGCTGGACTCCCATGTAAGCAACAGCAGTTTGAATTCCAGAACCAGCAGCTTAAAACTCATGCTGGGCGTTTGTGCATGCATGCCCAAAATCCTGAGAGGAAACTGGAGGAGAAGGAATTGCAGCATGGCCATCCCCGTGGGGGATGATTTATCATTTTCTGTCTCTCCAGAAATTGCACGTACCTTATAGCAAAAATCTCTTAAAAAAAAAAAAAAAAAAAAGCAGCTCCTATGGAGAACTGTTAGTAAGTAGAAGTTTAATGTACCTTTAGACAACAATTTTTTCCCTGTAATTTTGAGGATTTTTTCTAGATCGAAAAGCTAAAAGTACTTCACTAATCACCTGAACAGAATATCTTAAATATGCATGTAGTTTCTTTTATTCTAAACAGGTAGTATCCCAGAGTCAATAACATGCTTGGATAAATTAAAACCAGTTGAGCTCATCAGAGCTAGATTGTGTTGAATTTCGTCTCGTCTTTCCTTAAGCTTATAACATTAGTGTTATAACTAGCAAACCATTTTGTCTTCTCTGATAGAAGAAAATATATATCCACAAAGATAAATGGAGGATAATAGTAACTTATTACTCTTGCCTTATTCAAATTTTTGGTTATATTTCCAATTCCGTTTTTGGTAATGTTAAGATTCTGAACAGTTCTATATCTTTGTGAGTTTTTATTATTACATCTCTAATGTCGACAATGACACTGTGAGAGAACAAAGGCGATTCATTCATTGTTATCCTGCAACAGGCAGTGCTCAACTGTACCTGGTACAGTTTAAGAGTACAAAAGAAACAGCATAGCCTATGAACTTGCCATACAGAACCCTTCGGGCAAATAGCAAGAATAAATGCTTAGGGCTTAAAGAAAAAAGCATTCTAGAAATCATCTGGTGAAAATGTAGGGCCACCTATGGCTCCTTTCCTTCAGAGCTGTGATTCTCACCTTCATTTAGAAATCATCCTGACTAGAAACAGATAGTGTTACCGTAACCAGATCTCCGTATGTGTCTTCAAATTCCAGGAACCATGAGACGCACAGCTTGCTGAACTTCAACCCTTTGATATCAGAGACACCACCCCTCTGGTATATGGTAGAAGGCAACGGAAACAGTGCAGTTTGTACTAGCTGTGTAATTTACTTTGGAGATCAATTTAAGTCTTTGAGGAAATTTAAAAAGAAACAGTATTGTCAAATGACTCTTGTAATTAATCAAAACTGTATATCAAGTTTATGGCATTTGGCAAGGACTTATTTTCATTCAGTTCAAGAGGTCATCGCTAGTACATGATCTGCTCCCTCTCAGCAGAGTGTCTGGACTAGGCACGAGGACACATGTTAATCCCCACACTCTTGGCCATAAGATACTGCCCAAGCCTCTGTAACTCATAGAAAATAAGTTTCTCATCAGGGAAAAAGAGAAAAGGTGAGGTATTTAACTACCACATTTGATTTTTCTCAATGTCATTTCCCCCAGTTCTAATATTTTATATTTGTGTTTCAGTCATTATAAAAGATAGTCCCATAGTGACCAAAGGAGGTCAACATTCCACAGCAAGTCCTTTAGATTACAATGAGTAGTGTTCAAAACATTGCCAGCACCCTCGGCCTACTGTTTTACACTTTCCGTGGAATATACGTACTACTAATTAAAACATATGTATTTTCAGTAGGAAAAAGCTTGACGATTATGAGCTCAAATGTCTCAAAATATGGAGAACAAGGATCAAAAGCATTAAAAACTTCTGTAACTAGCCCATGTTATTAGAAAGCTTTTTATCCATCACAAAATAATTCCATCATATTGATTTTTTCTTGTACTGTGTATTCTCTCCAGTTCTAAACCAAAAAAAAAACATATACGTAGCAAGAGAGAATTATTTAGGTCTATAATTCTTTACTAAATGTATATGTCATTTTCTTTTGTCAATTTGCCCATTGGCCTTTGGGTATTGTACGATTTTCAGTCTTTTATCTGCACCTGAAGTACCTGCTATGCAGTCCAAAACTAGATGCTGATAAGCTTGTGCCAGATACCATAATGATGTTTCTTGCTGGCCACAGGGTTTCAGAGGTATTCAGGAGCTTTAATGACCTTGGATGAAGCAGGCAATCTGGTCCAGGCATTGAATAATAACCTTTTATTCCTTTTTTTCGACAGTTTAACTTCTCATTTTTCTATAAATCCGGCATTTTTATTGTTGTACATATTTAATTGCAGTTGTTTTTTCCAGTTGCTACAGTAGCATTGCTTATTCGAATTCTAAAATATTTATTACCTCCCATGAGACAGCCATAGGTGCTTTGAAGGCCAAGCTATGAGTACGATTTATGTTCTTAATAGTTAGGCAACTGAGGTTTTCCAAAAAAGTTCAGGAGTTCATCACTGGGCTTACAGTCACACTGGCCATTATTCCTCCATTTAAAGAAACTCCCACTGTGGAAGGAAAAGAAAAGTCATTTGATATCAAATGCGAGATGCAGCTGAAATGCTCTAAATTCATGTTTTCCAAGTGTTTTTCTAATCTCTTTTGGAAAGGCCCTTGTGACCCTGAGTGCAGTGAGGTCGGCTGTGACGGACCAGGACCGGACCACTGCAATGACTGCTTGCACTATTATTACAAGCTGAAAAACAATACCAGGTAAGAGAGGCCATATCAGAGTCCCACAGCATGTCCCCGGTGTTCCAGGAGCTCCCACAAGGCCAAGGCCATGAGCAGGCCCATGCTGTTAGCATCTTCCACTGCGCTCCCACCAGGACCTACACACAGAAAAGATGCTGCTGCACAGACCCGCTGCCTCCCTGTGTGACTCAAGACAGTGAAAACTATAGTGAGTCTTAAAATGCAAAATGTGTATACGTGCTGTGAAATGGCAAGTATCCTTTGTCACATTTTGGAGAGTGATAAGGAGGAACCTGCTAATAAGCATGTCTGGTCTTCTCCCACTTACTTGTCTTTTCCCTTTTTTCAGTTGGGTCATTGGGAAAATCATGATGCATTATTGCATAGAAAAACATAGAGGGGCCAGCAGGTGGTTGAGCCACTGGACTTCCATGTGGTCGACCACAGTTTGAGTCTTGGGCTCTGTGTCTTGAAACTCACACCAGGTGCATGTCTATGTGAGCCTAAAATCCCAAGAGGAGAATGGAGGAGAAGGGATTGTGTTGTGGCTATTCCCCCTGGGTGGGGGTGGGGTGGTGGGGTTCTCACTTTCTGCCTCTCTGTCTCTCTGGCAAGTGCACATGTCCTATAGCAAAAACCTTTTGGGGGCCAAAACAATCATAGAAAATACACCATTACTTTCTCAAATGAGCTAATAATTAGCAAGTAAACATTGTATGTATTTGATATCCCACATGATATTTTGACATATATGCACACATTGTGGAATGACTAAATCAAGCTATGCATATGTATTTCCCATATACAGTTTTGTGTATGGTGACAACACTTAAAATCTACTCTCTTAGCCATTGTCGAGTATCCAATATATTGTAGTAACTCTACTTGCCACGCTGTACATAGATCTCAGATGTATTCCTTCCAGCTAACTGAAGTTTTGTGTCCTTTCCATTCTGTTGATATTTAATGCCATGGCTGTATCTGCCCTTCATGAAGATGTCACTGCACAGGCCAAACGGATGCTTCCCCACATTCCCCAACATGCCAGACAATGATGTGGCAAAGGTGCTGATTCCTGCTTACTGTTCCACTCTGGGTACCAGGCAGACCCTGTGCCTCTGATTGCTGGCTTCTGCCTAGAACTGCATAGATGTTCCCATGGGGACTGGCCATGGAACAGTGATGGCACATCTACCCCATGTCTGCCGTGGCAACCTCACCTTCTCCCTCCTTCTTCAGGGGAAAACTCACTATCTAGAACTGCCTTGTGGTGCCTCCATACTCCCATGACCCAGACCAACCCCGGCTTGTTGGAGTTCTTCTTTTAAGTTCTTGCTGGATTTTAAATTCCTTAAGGGAAAGGCTCTTGGCTACCTTGGGGCCACTGTTATCTCCTACACTTAGCAAAACAGGAGCATTTAATTGTAGCTCAGTAAATGTTTGTTGAATGAGTAAAACTAAGTCTTGTCCTCATTCAAGGGCAAATAGGGAAGTTTTTTAAGTTTACTCATAAGTACCATAAATTTAAATATATGTAGATTAATTTAGACAATAGCAGATAATCACTACCCCACTTTCATGTGCTCAAGTAAGCTCTACCTGACAATACTCAAAAACGGAAGTAACTGGGACCTGCAATTAGTGTAATGGCTCTGTCGCTGGACTCCCATGTCGTTGACCGAGGTTTGAGTCCCAAACCCAGTGTCTTAACTCATGCCGGGTGCGTATGCGTGTGTGCCCTAGATCCCAAGAGGAGAACGGAGGAGAACAGATTGTGGTGTGGCCATCCCCCGTGGGGGGGTGATTTCTCGCTTTCTGTCTCTCTGTCTCTCTCTGTTTTTCTAGTGAGTGCACATGTCCTATAGCAAAATCCTCTCCAAAAAAAAAAAAAAAGTAACTCCTTCTTAGTTTAACATTTTTTCATGAAATTTTGGTTTATATATATATTTTTTGAGAGAAAGAGAGAGAGATTTTTGCTGTAGGTTGTATGCGCTCACCAGAAAGACAGAGACACAGAAAGTGAGCGAGAAATCACCCCCCAGGCGGGATGGCCACCTTGCAATCCCTTCTCCTCTGTTCTCCTCTCAGGATCTTGGGCATGCAGGCACCCATCCCCGGCGTAAGTTTAAGCCACTGGGTCTGGGACTCAAACCGCTGTCAACTCATGGGAGTTCAGTGACATAGCCATTACACCAACTGCTGGTCCCAGCTCTCATATATTTTTCCTTCTATTCACTACCACAGCTTTTCTCTTAAGACTCACTTCCTAACTATTATCTTTTAAAAAAAACCAAAATGACCCCTCAGGGGGCATGGCCACATCATAATTCCTTCTCCATTCTTCTCCTGGGATTTTGGACACATACTCACATGCCCAGCATGATTTTCAAGCCACCAGGTCCAGGGATTCGCATCATGATTGACAATGTGGGAGTCCAGTGCCTTAACCACCACACCACCTGATGGTGCCCCGTCATCCCTTCTAAAGGTTAAATGCAAACTGGGAGATGGTTTGCGAAAAGAGAGCCTTACTTGGTGTTGTGGAACTGTACCTTGCGTGAGCAGAAGCTTTAAACCAAAGTTAGCCCTTTGGCTGTGGCATTGGCATCCTCATTTAAAACTGACTTTGAGAGACCAGCAGATGGCATAATGGTTACGTTGCTGGCCTCTCATGTAGTCAACCACGGCTCAGGTCCTGGACCCGGTGGCCGTAAACCTCACGCCGGGTGTATGTGAGGGCGTACTCAAGATGCCAAGAGGTGAATAGAGGAGAAGGGGTTGCAGTGTGGCTCTCCCCCCTGGGAGGTGATTTCTCACTTTTCTGTCTCTGTCTCTCCAGTGAGTGCATGCATCCTACAGCAAAAGTCTCTCTTAAACTGGTTTGGAGGCTAAGGACTAGCTATTTGCTCAGCAGCTCTGAGAGACTATTGAGGATTGAGTTGCTGGTGATACTTTCTTCTTTCCTGTCATTGCACACACAGGATCTGTGTCTCCAGCTGCCCCCCTGGCCACTATCATGCTGACAAGAAGCGGTGCAGAAAGTGTGCCCCCAACTGCGAATCCTGCTTTGGGAGCCATGGGGACCAGTGCCTGTCCTGTAAATATGGATACTTCCTGAACGAAGAGACCAACAGCTGTGTTATTCACTGCCCTGATGGGTCATACCAGGACACCAGTGAGTTGATTTAATGCTTGAGTTTTAGAGAAGAAATGTGGGGTTTTCATATTCCTCCTTTATGAAATCTTGACTTGACTTAATATCAAAGAGGACCTAGCCAATTTATTTTAAGAGAAGAGTTTAGGAGCTATATATGAAGATGCTTGTAACTATGCAGGAAATCCTCATGACCACCCCCAGATCTAATGATTGCATGGAGTACTCACAAGGCCCAGGATGTAGTCATACCCTTGTCCTCACAGTTATGTTTTATTACAGCAAAAGGATTCTAAGTAAAGATCAGCAAAGGGAAAAGGTATATGGGATGAAGTCTAGAAGAAGCCAGGCACCAACATCCAAGGATCCCATTTCAGTGGTGTCTAGTAGGACTGTTTAATTCTGCACCAACAGTTTGTGACAGCATGCATTAATGTTGTCTATCAAGCAACCTCACTGGGTTATTACTGGGGACTAGGCAGGTAGGCACCTCCTGCCTGGCATGTACCCCAGTTCGAGACTCTCAGAAGGAAAACAGGTATTCACCATAAACCTTATTGTTTGTACAGACAGTTTACACAATGTGAACTGCTCTGATCAGGGTGGTACAAACTCCCCCAAAATCTAAACTCTCAAATGCCAGCCTTGGGCCAACCTTGTAAGGAGGCATGCTCTTTTCTGCACATTAACCAGATAGGTCCCTGGCTTGTCTAGAATCACAGAAAAAAAAAAAAAAAAGGTTTTTTTCAATTTTTTTCAAAAAATTTGAAGAATATGACACTATTGTAAATGCAGAGTGAATGGCATCAGCAACTTATTTGACCCATTAGTAAGGGAACATGTAAGGTGACACGTGGGTTCCAAGATGATCAAATGCTATAGTCTACCAGGAAAAGTAGTCCTTTTGCAACTTACAGACAAAATTGTTTAAGTTCTTTTTCATGTTATAAAGTACATGCACTCATTGGACAGAAACACAGAGAGAGAAAAAGAGGGAGAGACAGAAAATGAGAAATCACCCCTCCAGGGGAATGGTCACACTGCAATCCCTTCTCCTTCCTTGATTTTGGGCACACATGCACACACGCCTGGTGTGCTTTTCAAGGTGCTGGTTCTGGAACTTTGAACTGTGCATTCAATCATATGGGATCCAGCACCTTAACTACCATGCCACCTGCTGGTCCCAAATTGAGAATTTCTTACGTGGCAGTCTGACTAGAATTTTAGGGAGTATTCTTCCTAGTGGACAGAAATTACCTGCAACTTTACCAAACAAAATCTATTCATTAACGTGTAACTTCACAGTTTGTATCCTAATCAAGTGAAATTAGCAAATAGACAAAGATACATTGCCCTAGAAAGTCAAATAACCTTGGGTCAGCCCTGCTAGACAGTGCTCCAATATGGCCCTGAAAAGGACTGCAGGTATCTGTTCTTTATTTCTGAAATCTGGATAATGTATCTTAACAAGCTTGTCACATTATGGTTGATGATGACGCTGAAATTTCATGTTTTGGTACAACCTAAAAAATAAGAAACTCCAGTCTAAAAGAACAAGTCTTGTTTTTTTTTTATTATTATTATTTTTAGAGAGATTTTTGCTATAGGGCATGTACACTCACCAGAGAGACAGAAAGCAAGAAATCAACCCCAGGGGGGATGGTGATGCCACAGTCCCTTCTCCATTCTCCTCTTGGGATTTTAGGCACACATGCACATGCACCCAGCATGAGTTTTAAGCTGCCAGGTCCAGGACTTGAAACACAGTTGACTATGTGCAAGTCCAACAACATAACTGTTATGCCATCCATTGGCCCCGAAGAGTTGTTTTTTAAAAATATCAGGCAAAATTCTGAAGTGGGTCCTCTTGCTTCTTAAGGAATAAAATTCCTCTTAATTCAAAGGCAGGCACTTCTCTAAGAAGTAGATGGAATCTGGCCACTCACCCTTTAGAGCAATGGCAGGGAGTCTACCATAGTCATCATTTGCTTCCAACTTTGGAACATGAGCTACAACTTAATGGAGAAAGGGGAAATCAGGAGAGAGGAGAGGCCATAGTAGAGCCACCAGATTACACAGTATTCCCAGGGGAGGGTGGAACTGTCAAATTTTACCAAGAAGGTTGAGCCTTGTGAAAGAATTAAGTTCTAGCATGTTGTATGCTAGAATCAAGATAATTAAGAGAGTCAGTTATTTTTCCAGAGCCTGGTGAGTAATGAAAGAAGGTGATTAAATTAGCTACCACAGAGACCAGCAGATCGCATAATGGTTATGTCACTGGACTCTCATGTAGTCAATCATGGTTTGAGTCCTGGACCCTGTGACTTAACACTCACACTGGTTGTGTGTGCATGTGTGCCTAAAATCCTGAGAGGAGAATGGAAGAGAAAGGATTGCAGTATGGCCATCCTCCCAGAAGTGAAGGTGATTTTTCACTTTTTGTCTGACGCGTGCACGTGCCCTACAGCAAAAATCTCTCTTAAAAACATTAGCTATCACATAGTGTCAATATAAGAGGCCTGTGCATCTCTCTCCTCCCACATAATTGCTTTTTGTTGCACTTTCCTCCTTTAATCAGTCCATTTACATACAACATAGTGATCACGTATGAGTGTAACTAGCCATAGTTACTGCCAACACATTTACGGTGATTTATAGTTCATATCATTCCCTTGAATCATTTCATTAACTTAAGACAAACTGAGAGGTAGATATCATCATATTCTTACTTAACAAGTGAGGGAACAGAGACCCTCAACTTAACCACTGGAGTTACTAAAAGCAAAATGCAAATATAGGTCTTCTGCCTTCAGATCCTATCCTATATTTTGTATTCTGTGACAGATGACGGAAGATTTTGTGATAACTACCATAACGTTGTACTGGTTGGGGCCAGATGGTGGCTCAGCAGTAAAATGCATTGCTCTGCAAGGCAATCTCACATGGGAGGTTTCCTTGTTCAAGTCCAGAGATCTCCTGAGATCTCTAGCCTGTGATCCAGGTCTGGCTGAAGGTTAAGCGTGGGCTACAGCATCAAGACCTTGTTGGGCGTGCTGTCTCTTAGACACTCCCTCTCTCTCTGTCTATGTTGCTCAGGAAGGAAACAGACATATAAACTTTCAAAACAAGATTGTAAAGGGCTTCACTGTCCAGGCTGAGATGCTCAGAATTGATCCAGTATGTTCAATGGAGCTCCATTAAAGCAGTGTTTCTCTGTGGCACCCAGAAGAATACCAGCATTTAAAGAGCAGAAAAGAAGAGAAACCCATGAGCAAAGGTTTTTTTCAGTTCTACACATATATGTGGATTCAATCCACTTGCATATCAGAGTAGGTACTAATTCTCTGGCAAAATTGTCTATGGTAAAAGGACTTCCTTAATACCAAGTCACTATTTGTCATGATAGAACAACTATGAATATGCCAATTTCTTCTAGTATGGACCTGAGTTTTTTATTAAACAGAAAAACCAGTTCACAGAATAATCATACTAATATGTTTCTTCTTAAATTTTTTTTCTAATTTGCTATAGAATACATGCACTCACCAGAGAGACACAGACAGGGGGCAGGGAGAAATCACATACAAACACACACACACACACACACACACACACACACATGCCAGGAAAAATGGACATACCACAATCCCTTCTTCTCCATTCTCTCAGGATTTGGGACACACATTCATACATGCCTGATGTGTTTTTCAAACCACCGGGTCTGGGACTTGAAGTGTGCATTTGGCCATGTGGGATCCAGCTGTCTTAACAACCATGCTACCAGCTGACCCCAAACCAATTTCTATTCTATGCATTTCTTTTCCATCCTTACATGGTGGTATTGTCTCAGCTTCATGAGCTGGTCTGTCATTGTTGCAAATTAGGAAACTGCTTGGGCAAGAAAGTGGGGAAAAGAGAGAAAGCCTACAAACTATTCAACTGGGAATTCGGTGGGCCTCAGTTCTCTTGTCTGGAGAGTGGCAGGTAGGTTGTAGATATTCCCCAGTGCTACATCATCCTGCCTTTATTTGGTCTCCGGAGAAATGATAACCAATGGTGATTCTGAGGCTTTTCCAGCTATTTTCTACTCTAGGCCGTGCGTACCGTGGCATACATTAGCACACGTTAGAACAGCCCCACATGCCTCTGTGGAATTTAGGTGACGACTGACATAACTTTGTCTCTTTTTCTTTACTTTCTTTTTTCTCAACAGAGAAACATCTTTGTCGGAAATGCAGTGAAAACTGCAAAACTTGCACTGAATTTCATAACTGCACGGAATGTAAGGATGGGTTAAGGTAAGAGAGTGAGGGATTTCCTCAAGAACTACAGTCCAAGGAGCTTTGCACTGTACATACAATGAAAATAAATAAATAAATAGCCCTCTTCCCATCTACCCTTGGTTTGACTCCCATATAAACACTTGATTGCTATTTACATTATCTCTACCATTATATGTGAAAAATTGGATGCCATCTTGGCTACGGAAGGGTTATAAACCAAGTCAATTCTCTTTAGAAAAGATGGCTCAGATACAAGTCAATAAAAATGACCATTTAAGAGGCATTTTTCATGCTTTTTGACCTACACTGTGCCAGTCAAGGATTACTGCACAGGTAATGCCAGTGAATTATGTTTAATCCCCCTGATTCCTCCCTTGGATGGTTGGAAATTATTCCCTTATCTTTATTATTTCTTTCCACATACCCAATCATTCTCTTATCTTAAGTACTCCAGGCTTGGTTCCATTATGCTGTGGTGTGCACATATATTTAACACTGGGAGATGTTTTCCTCGTGACTCTTTAAGACAACAACATGCAGCTCAAATGCTCAGTAGAGAAGGTCAGACCATTCTATGTTGAGTGAGGAGCTGGACTCTGGATTTCATAGACTTAGGGTTTTGCCACACCGAATCCCTTGTATCGATAGCATCTTTGTTTTCACCTTTGATTAGAGGCGAAAAAGCAGGGTCCAGTCGGTCCCTAGGCAGGTAATGCTTCACATTAATCAGTATTAGAGCATCATTTTCATTTACATTTATTGGCTTTCTGTTTCTTTTATTTTCTTTTTTCTCCATGAATGCATTCAGTGTTAGTTTGCTTAGCGGTTTCATCTCAAGACTTTGATTTTGTTTCATTCTTTATTAATGATAGATCTCATGTAGACACCCATGAAAGAAATAAAAGAGAAACACAGAAAGAGAGAGAAGCACCCTCCACAGGGTCTGGTCACACCAAGATCCAATCCCCTTTTTCCAGACTCTAAGCCATTGAGACTTCCATGTTGGTAAACATCAGTCTATTCAGCTCCTATTTCTTCCTGGAGGAAGTGCAGAGCAGTACTACAAAACGAAGGAAGGGAGATGTGGGCTCAGTTTTCTTGTGCTAGTTATCAGCTGTGTGTTCTTAGCTGCTTAACTACTCTGAGCTAGCATTTTCTATAAAATGGTGATAATAACCTCTACTTTGCTAGATAATAATAAGGATTAACTGTGATAACATTTATGAAGTACTTATGCCAACATCAGGCACATAATTGGTCTATGAGAAATAAAAAAATTATTGAAATTATTTCTTTATTTCCTAGGGAATTTTTTTTAGACGTTTTTGCCATAGGGCACATGCGCTCACCGGAGAGAGAGAGAGAGACAGAGCAAGTGAGAAGTAAAGTGAGAAATCACCCTCCTCCCACCCCAAGAAGGGATGGCCACACTGCAGTCCTCCATCCCCTACTCTTCTACCGAGATCTTGGGTATACACACACATGTATCCAGCATGATTTTCAAGCTACCAAGTTCAGGACTTGAACTCTGATCGGCCATGTGGGAGTCCAGCAATTACACCATCTGCTGGCCCTTCTTAGGGACTGCTAACCGCAGTTCAACTCTCCAGCCAGGCCAGCATGAAAACATATGGGGTAGGTGTACATGTGCCCAGGATTCTGACAGGCTGGAGAAATGGAAGAAGGGCACTACAGCATGTAGAAAGTGTTTCTTGCTCTCATGCATGTGCACATACTCTAAGATACAGTAAAAAAAAATTGTATTTTTTTTAAAAGAAGAAAGATGAAAGGGAAATTAATTTTAATAAAATATTGCATTTAACCTAATATATTCAAAATATTATTTCATTATGTAATCAATATTAAAGAAAAAAAATATTGAGCCAGCCCATAGCATAGTGGTTAAGGAAGTCGGATCCCTCATGGCTGAGTGTGGTTCGAATCCTGGTCCTGGCAGCTTGAGAAACATACTGAGTGCATGCTGAAAATCCAGACAGGCAGGAGAAACAGAGGAGAAATGATTATGTGTGATCACACCCCACTGGAGGGCACCCCCCATCTCTCTGTTTCTCTCTGGTGAGCGTGTGTGTAATTAAAAGATAAATAAATCATCTGTTAATGAGATAGTTTACATTTTACAGCCTTTTCATTACTGTGTTAGGTCTTCAGAATCTAGTGTGAATATCCTTAAAGCATATCTCAGTTCGGTCATCACTTTATGTTGACTCAGCAATTCCTGAGTTAGAGTTTTTTTTAAAAAAAGAATTATTATTTTTATTTGTTTATTATTATTATTATTATTATTATTATTATTACTATTATTTTCACATGAGTTTTGCCAGAGAAAGACATAGAGAGAAAGAGAGAGAGAGAGAGGGACAGTGAGAAAGCAAGCCACCAGATCCAGGACTCGAACCATGGTTGGCCATGTAGGAATTCCAGCGCCTTAACCACCACACCACCTGCTCATCCCGAGTTTGTTTTTTTTATTTTTTAAACCTAGTTGAGAAACTAGATTTCACATAGCCAAGTTTTCCCAAACTTACTCAAAAATTTGCCAGTTACTGAATCAAGTGCTAGCTTTTCAAATTTAGATTTCAATTCATTGAAACTTAAAGTCAATTTTTGGCCGCCCCAGCTGCATTTCTAACACTCAGCACCGTGCACTAGAGCGTCTTGGACAGCACAGGTCTCACCAAGCTGGTTCATCAAAGCAAATACGAAGGCGTTCACAGTCCCAGGCACACACGCTTTGCAGCGTCTGTATTTTGGGAGCAGCAGAACGCTGTAGGGTCCCGTGACTGTTCTCTGTTGCCCCATTCATTCTTTCCCCACACAGTGAAAGCTCTGTCTCCTGCTGTGTAGATGCCAACCTTAGAGGTACTGTCCTTTCTTAGAAAAACCAGGTGAAGCTTTTTGGTGGTCCTTATTTCCTCCCACTAAGGGATCCATTTGATGCAATGTCCCTTTTTCTAGCATGGCAGAAAGGGAAAGGGATTTTCTTTTATTGGCTTTTTAGATGACAGCCCTCTGTAGCCAGTGAGAAGCTCTATGAATGAAGTATTTTTTCAGTTTTTCTGTCCTTAGTCTCCCTGAAGCTCCTTGCATTTTCTTAGGGCCTTCTAGGGCTGGCCATTTGCCCCAAGATACCTGTAAATTTTTAAATAGTGCCTTAAGAACAAACAAGAGAAATATCTATGCATAAAGTCTAGGGAGAAAATGAATTAAAATGCTAATAAGGACTTTTAGGACTCTCTTTTCATCTACTTTGTTTTCGTACTTTATGAATTTTTTTAATGAGCATACTATACTTTCTTTTTTAAAAAAGAATTATTTATTTAATTTTATGTACTATTATTACTTTTTCATTTGCCCAGAAAGAGAGAGAAAGGGAAAGCGAGAAAGTAAGCTGCCAGGTCCGGGACTGCGACCACCATCAGCCATGTGAGAGTCTAGCACCTTACCCACCATACCACCTGCCTGCTGCAATGTTTTCATTTCTTTCTTTCTTTTTTTTTTTTTTAAGAGAGATTTTTTTTTCCTATAAGGCATCTGTGCTTGCTGGAGAGACAGAAAGTGAGAAATCATCCCCCAGAGTGAATGGCCACACTGCAATCCCTGTTCCTCCATTCTCCTCTCAGGATTTTGAGTACCCATGCACACATGCCTGGAGTGAGTTTAAGCTTCTGGGTCTGGGACTCAAACCACAGTCGACTACATGGGAGTCCAACAACATAACTATCATGCCATCTACTGGTCCTGACATTTTCATTTTTAAAATCAGTATGATTTATATAAAGAGAGTCAAGATGTCATTTGAAACAATTTAATGAGTATAAGAAAACAGAAACCATTTGACCTTGTTGCTTAAATGCATCTTCTAGTTTCATCCATGAGGTGACATGGGATTACAGTTCTACTCTGTTTCCAGTCACCCTCGTTATATCAGTGAGTAATATTTTTATGTTAAATATTGTAAATTGTATGTCTTTATTTTTTATTTTAGGAGTCAATTTGTAGACTATAAAAAACCTCAAGCTGAAAGTAGAGAGAAAAAACATATATTCCTCATTTGCCATTCTAGCAATTCATTAGATACTGTCTCATAGTGCTAGTTAGAGAAATAGAAATTTAAATAAATTATTCAACATGGCATAGAAAAATTCTAGAAACACTAAATAATAATATAACTAAGAACAGTCAAGATGTTTGGGGAAGCAGCAAAATAGGTAGTAATTTTACTAAATTCTTCATTAGAGTATTCAAAACAAATTTTTAAAAAGAAGCAAAAATGTAATAGAATGCTGTGGTTTTGATGGGAACCAATAAAAGGCTAACATCACAAACACTTAAAAGCAAACCAGGCTACTCCAGGGAGCAGGGCCAGAGTGATTGGGCGGGGATAGCTATACACTTCTTTTGTGGTTTATTTTATCGTGTGCTCTTCCTGCATGTATAATTATGAGACAACTTTTAAATTCATTATGTAGTCGGTCTACATGCTAGGGAATTATTAGACATAGTATTAGGTCATATAATTCTTTTGTCAATCAAATACTTTTTAAAACCCCTGGGTAGTAAGATGTTGAGTGGGACCAGCAGGTGGCATAGTGGCTAAAGGTGCTGGACTCCCACATGACTGACTGCAGTTTGAGTCCCGGACCTGGTAGTTTGAAACTTAACACCAGGCACGTGTGTGTGCACGCTCAAGATACTGAGAGGAAAATGGAGAAGAGACTGTGGTGTCGCCATGCCCCCTGGGGGGGTGATTTCTAATTTTCTCTCTCTCTCTCTCTCTCCAGTGAGTACAAGTGCCTTATAGCAAATAAATAAATAAATAAATAAATAAATAAATCTCTCAAAAAAAATAAAAGATGTTGAACAAAGCCCACCTCACCTGCCTAACAAACAAAGAGACTGTCCCCAAGGTTGGCAGTGTGTGTATGTTACAGACATTCTTACATGCAAAGAGGCATTATAGGCTTTGGGAGGAAAAAGAGGGTACAAAGACTATGCCCCGTACTTTGAAGCTTAGCCAAATCACTGCTCTCTGGGGAACAATATTTGTTACATTGGCATTGGGGAGTCATTGCAGCTATGCCTTGATCTCAGCTCCGTTTGTTTTCCTTCCAGCCTGCAGGGATCCCGGTGTTCTGTCACCTGTGAAAACGGCCGGTTCTTCAACGGCCAGGACTGCCAGCCATCAGTCTATTCAGCTCCTATTTCTTCCTGGAGGAAGTGCAGAGCAGTACTACAAAACGAAGGAAGGGAGATGTGGGCTCAGTTTTCTTGTGCTAGTTATCAGCTGTGTGTTCTTAGCTGCTTAACTACTCTGAGCTAGCATTTTCTATAAAATGGTGATAATAACCTCTACTTTGCTAGATAATAATAAGGATTAACTGTGATAACATTTATGAAGTACTTATGCCAACATCAGGCACATAATTGGTCTATGAGAAATAAAAAAATTATTGAAATTATTTCTTTATTTCCTAGGGAATTTTTTTTAGACGTTTTTGCCATAGGGCACATGCGCTCACCGGAGAGAGAGAGAGAGACAGAGCAAGTGAGAAGTAAAGTGAGAAATCACCCTCCTCCCACCCCAAGAAGGGATGGCCACACTGCAGTCCTCCATCCCCTACTCTTCTACCGAGATCTTGGGTATACACACACATGTATCCAGCATGATTTTCAAGCTACCAAGTTCAGGACTTGAACTCTGATCGGCCATGTGGGAGTCCAGCAATTACACCATCTGCTGGCCCTTCTTAGGGACTGCTAACCGCAGTTCAACTCTCCAGCCAGGCCAGCATGAAAACATATGGGGTAGGTGTACATGTGCCCAGGATTCTGACAGGCTGGAGAAATGGAAGAAGGGCACTACAGCATGTAGAAAGTGTTTCTTGCTCTCATGCATGTGCACATACTCTAAGATACAGTAAAAAAAAATTGTATTTTTTTTAAAAGAAGAAAGATGAAAGGGAAATTAATTTTAATAAAATATTGCATTTAACCTAATATATTCAAAATATTATTTCATTATGTAATCAATATTAAAGAAAAAAAATATTGAGCCAGCCCATAGCATAGTGGTTAAGGAAGTCGGATCCCTCATGGCTGAGTGTGGTTCGAATCCTGGTCCTGGCAGCTTGAGAAACATACTGAGTGCATGCTGAAAATCCAGACAGGCAGGAGAAACAGAGGAGAAATGATTATGTGTGATCACACCCCACTGGAGGGCACCCCCCATCTCTCTGTTTCTCTCTGGTGAGCGTGTGTGTAATTAAAAGATAAATAAATCATCTGTTAATGAGATAGTTTACATTTTACAGCCTTTTCATTACTGTGTTAGGTCTTCAGAATCTAGTGTGAATATCCTTAAAGCATATCTCAGTTCGGTCATCACTTTATGTTGACTCAGCAATTCCTGAGTTAGAGTTTTTTTTAAAAAAAGAATTATTATTTTTATTTGTTTATTATTATTATTATTATTATTATTATTATTACTATTATTTTCACATGAGTTTTGCCAGAGAAAGACATAGAGAGAAAGAGAGAGAGAGAGAGGGACAGTGAGAAAGCAAGCCACCAGATCCAGGACTCGAACCATGGTTGGCCATGTAGGAATTCCAGCGCCTTAACCACCACACCACCTGCTCATCCCGAGTTTGTTTTTTTTATTTTTTAAACCTAGTTGAGAAACTAGATTTCACATAGCCAAGTTTTCCCAAACTTACTCAAAAATTTGCCAGTTACTGAATCAAGTGCTAGCTTTTCAAATTTAGATTTCAATTCATTGAAACTTAAAGTCAATTTTTGGCCGCCCCAGCTGCATTTCTAACACTCAGCACCGTGCACTAGAGCGTCTTGGACAGCACAGGTCTCACCAAGCTGGTTCATCAAAGCAAATACGAAGGCGTTCACAGTCCCAGGCACACACGCTTTGCAGCGTCTGTATTTTGGGAGCAGCAGAACGCTGTAGGGTCCCGTGACTGTTCTCTGTTGCCCCATTCATTCTTTCCCCACACAGTGAAAGCTCTGTCTCCTGCTGTGTAGATGCCAACCTTAGAGGTACTGTCCTTTCTTAGAAAAACCAGGTGAAGCTTTTTGGTGGTCCTTATTTCCTCCCACTAAGGGATCCATTTGATGCAATGTCCCTTTTTCTAGCATGGCAGAAAGGGAAAGGGATTTTCTTTTATTGGCTTTTTAGATGACAGCCCTCTGTAGCCAGTGAGAAGCTCTATGAATGAAGTATTTTTTCAGTTTTTCTGTCCTTAGTCTCCCTGAAGCTCCTTGCATTTTCTTAGGGCCTTCTAGGGCTGGCCATTTGCCCCAAGATACCTGTAAATTTTTAAATAGTGCCTTAAGAACAAACAAGAGAAATATCTATGCATAAAGTCTAGGGAGAAAATGAATTAAAATGCTAATAAGGACTTTTAGGACTCTCTTTTCATCTACTTTGTTTTCGTACTTTATGAATTTTTTTAATGAGCATACTATACTTTCTTTTTTAAAAAAGAATTATTTATTTAATTTTATGTACTATTATTACTTTTTCATTTGCCCAGAAAGAGAGAGAAAGGGAAAGCGAGAAAGTAAGCTGCCAGGTCCGGGACTGCGACCACCATCAGCCATGTGAGAGTCTAGCACCTTACCCACCATACCACCTGCCTGCTGCAATGTTTTCATTTCTTTCTTTCTTTTTTTTTTTTTTAAGAGAGATTTTTTTTTCCTATAAGGCATCTGTGCTTGCTGGAGAGACAGAAAGTGAGAAATCATCCCCCAGAGTGAATGGCCACACTGCAATCCCTGTTCCTCCATTCTCCTCTCAGGATTTTGAGTACCCATGCACACATGCCTGGAGTGAGTTTAAGCTTCTGGGTCTGGGACTCAAACCACAGTCGACTACATGGGAGTCCAACAACATAACTATCATGCCATCTACTGGTCCTGACATTTTCATTTTTAAAATCAGTATGATTTATATAAAGAGAGTCAAGATGTCATTTGAAACAATTTAATGAGTATAAGAAAACAGAAACCATTTGACCTTGTTGCTTAAATGCATCTTCTAGTTTCATCCATGAGGTGACATGGGATTACAGTTCTACTCTGTTTCCAGTCACCCTCGTTATATCAGTGAGTAATATTTTTATGTTAAATATTGTAAATTGTATGTCTTTATTTTTTATTTTAGGAGTCAATTTGTAGACTATAAAAAACCTCAAGCTGAAAGTAGAGAGAAAAAACATATATTCCTCATTTGCCATTCTAGCAATTCATTAGATACTGTCTCATAGTGCTAGTTAGAGAAATAGAAATTTAAATAAATTATTCAACATGGCATAGAAAAATTCTAGAAACACTAAATAATAATATAACTAAGAACAGTCAAGATGTTTGGGGAAGCAGCAAAATAGGTAGTAATTTTACTAAATTCTTCATTAGAGTATTCAAAACAAATTTTTAAAAAGAAGCAAAAATGTAATAGAATGCTGTGGTTTTGATGGGAACCAATAAAAGGCTAACATCACAAACACTTAAAAGCAAACCAGGCTACTCCAGGGAGCAGGGCCAGAGTGATTGGGCGGGGATAGCTATACACTTCTTTTGTGGTTTATTTTATCGTGTGCTCTTCCTGCATGTATAATTATGAGACAACTTTTAAATTCATTATGTAGTCGGTCTACATGCTAGGGAATTATTAGACATAGTATTAGGTCATATAATTCTTTTGTCAATCAAATACTTTTTAAAACCCCTGGGTAGTAAGATGTTGAGTGGGACCAGCAGGTGGCATAGTGGCTAAAGGTGCTGGACTCCCACATGACTGACTGCAGTTTGAGTCCCGGACCTGGTAGTTTGAAACTTAACACCAGGCACGTGTGTGTGCACGCTCAAGATACTGAGAGGAAAATGGAGAAGAGACTGTGGTGTCGCCATGCCCCCTGGGGGGGTGATTTCTAATTTTCTCTCTCTCTCTCTCTCCAGTGAGTACAAGTGCCTTATAGCAAATAAATAAATAAATAAATAAATAAATAAATCTCTCAAAAAAAATAAAAGATGTTGAACAAAGCCCACCTCACCTGCCTAACAAACAAAGAGACTGTCCCCAAGGTTGGCAGTGTGTGTATGTTACAGACATTCTTACATGCAAAGAGGCATTATAGGCTTTGGGAGGAAAAAGAGGGTACAAAGACTATGCCCCGTACTTTGAAGCTTAGCCAAATCACTGCTCTCTGGGGAACAATATTTGTTACATTGGCATTGGGGAGTCATTGCAGCTATGCCTTGATCTCAGCTCCGTTTGTTTTCCTTCCAGCCTGCAGGGATCCCGGTGTTCTGTCACCTGTGAAAACGGCCGGTTCTTCAACGGCCAGGACTGCCAGCCCTGCCACCGCTTCTGCTCCACTTGTGCTGGTACCTTCTCTCCAGTTCTTTCATTTATTTTCTTGGTGCTGGTTTTGTTTGTTTTTTTAAGACGGGACCTCACAATGTAGCAGTCCTCCTGAGTAGCTGGGACTGTAGGTACCTGCCGCCCTACTCAGCTCTTTCTTATACAGAGTCCCTGTGTGTTGCCCAGGCCAGCCTCAAACTTGTAATCTTCCTGCCTCAGCCTCTGGAGTCACTAGGATTGCAGGTTCAGGCCACGGCACTCAGCGTTGAGGTTGGACCAAGAAGTAATTCCTGTGTGATCCCAGCCAGTGCAGCACAGCATCATATCAGTGCAAGCCATCATAGCAGGGCCCTGGTTCTAGTTTTGCTTTTATATGTCTGAGTTTAGCCATCATTCATGTAATTCACCTGGGTTCCTGGGTTATTGTTTTTTGTTTTTGTTTTTTTTTTTTGTTTTCTGAGAGATTTTTGCTATAGGGCACGTGCGTTTGCCAGAGAGACAGAGACAGAGAGTCAGAAAGCAGGAAATCACCTCCGGGGATGACCACACTGCAATCCCTTCTCCATTCTCCACCTGGGATTTTGGGCACGCATGCACACATGCCCAGCGTGAGTTTTAAGCTCCTGGGTCTGGAATGCGAACCACGGTCAACTAGGTAGGAATCTAGTGACAAAACCATTGTGCCCTCTGCTGGTTCCTCCACCTGGTATTCTTAAAGTGAAGTCTGATTCTTTTTTGATAATCATGCAGGTGTTCTTATTGAAAGTCAGTCGTCAGCATTCCATCCTCACTGAGAAATTTAAATATCTCAGTGATAGCTCCTTTCCATGAAGAGGGGATGTTTTTAGCAGATAGGTTAAATTTTAAATGGGAGGTGTGTTTCCCAAGGAATAAATGAAAACGTACAAACATGTTTCCTACCTTTGTCTTGCTGTCAAGGGGCGGGAGCTGATGGGTGCATTAACTGCACAGAGGGTTACTTCATGGAGGAGGGGAGATGCGTGCAGAGCTGTAGCATCAGCTATTACTTCGATCACTCTTCAGAAAATGGACACAAATCCTGTAAAAAGTAAGTGGTCCCCTCCCGCAGACCAACATTTAATTCCCAGGTTCCTTATGTGATGGTTTTCATAAATAGGATGCCTAGAATTTCTTTTATTTTTTTTTTTTAATTTGCCATAGGGCACATGCACTTGCTGGAGAGAGACAGACAGGCAGTGAGAGAAGGTGAGAAAGCACCCTCCATGGGGGATGACTGTGCTGCAATCCCTTCTCCTCCGTTTTCCCTTCAGGATTTTGGGCACACACAAGCGCCTGATGTGGTTTTCAAGCTGCTGGGTCCTAGATTCAAACTGTGCAGACAGTCACGTGGGATCCAGTTGCCTTAACTTGTGTGCCACTAGCTGGCCCCAGGAAACCTAGAATTTTCTTTTCTTTTTTTTTGGAGAAGTTTTTGCTATAGGGTATGTGTGTGCTCACCACAAAGACAGAGAGACAGAGAGACAGAAAGTGAGAAATCACCCCTCCTCCCCGAGGGGGGATGGCCACACCACAGTCCCTTCTCCTCCATTCTCCTCTTGGGATCTTGGGCATGCACGCACATGCGCCCAGCGTGTTTAAGCCACTGGGTCCAAGACTCGAACCGCGCTTGACTACATGGGAGTACAGCGACATAGCCATTACACTAACTGCTGATCCCAGGAAACTTAGAATTTTTAATGGTAAAATAAAGCTCACACATTTACCTATGAACACCACCTTTCAGCTTTAACCCAAAGTTAATATCCCCTGCCGCCCTGAGGAGCACTTTAGAACCTTTAAAGAAATATTTTTGTTTCAAGTGCATACTATATCCCCTTTTAAAATCACAGAAAACCTGCCAAGTTTTCTTTCATGTTTTCAAACCAAGCAGTTGCTGGAAGAAAACACTTTGTGTCATCTTCAAAGGGAGCATGAGGTTTATGACATGAAGAGATTGATAGCAAACATGCCTTCTCCTGTGCGTGCTGTGTAAAGGATGAATAATCGTACGTTTTCCCTATAGATGTGATACCAGTTGTTTGACGTGCAATGGTCCAGGCTTCAAGAACTGCACGAGCTGCCCCAGTGGGTATCTCTTAGACTTAGGAATGTGTCAAATGGGAGCCATCTGCAAGGATGGTGAGTACCCCTGTTCGTCTGATCTTCGGAGTCAAGTATGGTCTTTCTACCTTAAGGCCTATTAGTGTTCCACTTAAGAAAGAGCCAACAAGCAAACACCAGATAGGATATATCTAATATCTTTTCTGTTTTTTGTTTTCGTTTTTTTTTTTTTCCTTTACATTTCATTCTTTTGTATGAGAGAGAGTTAGAAAGAGAAATAGAAGCGTGTCCCACTGGGTCTGATGCCACAACCCTCCCGTTGGTCTTCCTAGCCAGCCAGGATCGCAGGCACATACCCAGCACATGCTGGTTGGGAAACTGAATCCCGACACCCTCTAGGCTTCTAGCGTTGCAGAGTGGTGCCCTACAACTGCACCGCCATAGTCCGTGCTTGCTATCTCACTGGCATTGATTCAGCTTATGCCCCTACTGGCTTTGGTTTTGTTCTTTTGGCTTTTTTAAATTGCAAGAAAAAATAAATCACCTGTAGTCCCACCAGCCAAGACTCCAGTTAATGTTGTTAATGAATGGACTTTATTCCTTTCAGAGCAGTAAAATTGAGCAGAAAGTGCAGAGTTCCCATATACCCCTCACCCCCACATATGCACAGTCTCCCCCACTATCAACATTCTCCACCGAAGCAGCACCTTTGTTACAGCATGAACCTACACTGATACATTGTTATCAGCCAAAGTCACTGTTAGGGCTCATTCTCGGTGTTGTATATTCCATGGGTTCAGACAAATGTAATGGCATTTGTCCACCGTTACAATATAATACAGAGTACTTTGTCCCCAAAGTCCTCTGTGCTCTGGCTGTTCATCTCTCCCTCTCCACTAACTGCTGACAACCACTGATTTTTTTAAACCGTCTTCCTAGATTTGCCTTTTCCAGAATGTCATATAGTTGGAATCATACAGTATGTAACCTTTTCCAGTTAATTTTTGATGTACTTCTTTCCAGTCATTTGTCACATGTACTTTTTACTACTTTTTTTTTGTACCACGTACATAGAGTTTTGCACTAAGCAGGACCATGAATATTTTCCTATACTTCCGTAGTCTTCAGAAACTTCATTTTAGTAACAGCATAAAATTTAATTTTGTAATGATTCCATCATTTTTTGCCCCTTTCCTATCATTTGTATTTATATTTTGTATGTGAAAATAATAAACAAATGGTATCTGAATCTTTTATTAAGCCTCTGAGGCTAGGAGTTAATATGCTGATCTTACAGAAGGGAAACCTTAAGTATAAAGCTAGGAAGTGACAGCCCAAGTAGAGAACTTTATTTTTCTTAAGAGAGACTTTTTGCTACAGGGCGTGTGTACTCGCCAGAAAGGCAGAGAGAGACAGAAGGACAGAAATCACTCCCCAGGGGGTATGGCCATGCCACAATCCCTTCTCCTCCATTCTCCTCTTGGGATTTTCGACACACGTGCACGTATGTCCAGTGGGATTCTTGAGCCACAGTCAACTATGTGGAAGTCCAGCGACATAACCATTACACCATCTGCTGGTCCCCCAAGTAGAGAATTTAAGACTTTTAAATATTGGTCCATTTTTCTGTGCTTTGCACCAGAATTCTCAACCAAGATGCTGGGGACCCCACACCTTCCCCACAAATCCTGAATGAATTAATTGGAAGTGGCATAATGGTTATGTCGCTGGACTCCCATGTAGTTGACTGTGGTTCAAGTCCCAGACCCGGCAGCTTAAAACTCATACCAGGTACATGTGCGTGCATGCTCAAGATCCCAAGAGGAGAATGGAGGAGAAGGGATTGCAGCATGGTCATCCCCCATAAGGGGTGATTTTTCATTTTTTCTGTCTCCCTCTGTCTCTCTGGGGAGCGCATGTACCCTATAGCAAAAATCTCTCTTAGAAAAGGAAAAGAAACTTCTCAAATGTTTTTAATGTGTAGCCAGTTTTGCAAATCACTGCACTGCCCATTCACCATGGCTGTTTGGCAGATACCAAGTTCCTGATCTGCGCTGGCCTTAATTTCTCCATCTGGAAGATGAACGAACTTAAATTATTCCAACTTCAACATTTTGTGAACTTGTACTGTGTCAATAGTCTTCATGCTGAGGGAGCCCTCAAATTAGTGCTAGAATTCTGTGTAAAAAATACATCTCAAGAACATAGAAAGAAATTACTTTGTTGTTCAAAACATCTTTGGATCATTATTAAAACATGGAAATTAGGCATTTGAAACAGTCTTACCTGACACACTCACTGCCCTAGATTTATTCTTTCCCTTCTGGAAATTTCACAAGAGGCAGAGCAGTCCCGTGGTTGGGAGGACATGGACTTGGAAGTCCGAATGCTATGGTTCATATATGGGCTCCAGCCCTTGGGCAGGTTGTATAGTTCTCTGGGCCTCATGGTCCTCATCTGTAAAAAAGTGAAAAACATAATAGTGCTGACCTCATGTGATTAATCCACAGCTCCCTGTTGGGAATGTCAAAGAGGCTTCAAAAAGAACTGGCCACATGATGGCCCTGATTGAACATGATTTATGGTTCATTTCCTTAGTGCCTCATTGGTGACTTTAGATCTTCAAAGACTTCTGATGCAAGATTGGTCTGGCAGGGCTGGGTTGGACCACTCTGGCTCTGTGTTCTGAGTGTTCCTGGGCCAGAGCTGATTCTAACCAAATTACACAGGGCTGTAGGCCTAGGGTACTCGCACCCTAGGGACCGTGTGAGTGCTTCTTTGCCTTTACTTAAAAACATGGTTCCCCTGTACATGAAATGATGAGAATTTTTCATAAATTAGTAACCAAAAACTGAGGAAGATTTTTAAGAGATTGACTTAGGAAATCCACTATAACTTGACGTTTTCACTTACAGCACTTGGTAAGAGACATTTCAAGATTGGGATGCTTTAAGTACTTCCCCTAAACCATGGCAAGCAGGGATAAGGTATGCCAAATGGCACTGTCGATGAGTCCACTTTAGGGTCAGTTTGAGAACGCAATTGTTGATGGCTCACCAGGCGTTTAAAGTTATATCAACTGCATTTAAAAATGTGCTGTTTGTTCTCTATCAACTGTAATATTTCCATGATTCTAAGACACTATTTTCCATTTTATCATCTCTGAAATCAGATGCATTTTATAATTCATCACAGCTTACAATTGCTTTTGACCAGAAGGTTGATGTGACATACATGTCATTGCCTAAATATGAGATGTAGGCACAGAGATATGTATTCAACTGAGTTAGACATGTGGCTATTACTTCTTGTGTTAAATGTAATTGCATTTCAAAAGAGCCTCAAAAAATTAAATTGTTGTTTAATATTCAAAGAAAGTATTACTGCTTAAGCACAGAAGCAAAACAGAATATTATATAACAAATACTTAATAAGTATAAAATTAAAATTCTAATTGACAAGAGAATATTGTGCCACAGCTTAATAAAAAGATTTTTTTTGGTATTACTTAAAGTAATGGTACATCTATAAATCCTGTCTTGGAGTCAGTGAAATATAGTATACATGACTGTATACTCCTCTTAATTCTAAGAAGAAAAATTCCTTGTTTATGTTGTTATTGATTTCTAATTTATTCTTTTTCTAATCTTTTTTTTTTTCCTTTCACAAATGGATACCAATCACATTTATCGTTGGACTACAATATCTCTTCTTGAAAAACATGCTGTTGACTGAAATCACTTTGGGTGGACCAAATTTCCTCCTTGTTGACTGCTCCTGAATGATCTCTTCCAATCCCCCAATCTGCCTCTCTGGCCAATCAAAACCTTCTTCCGTGTGTGTACATCATGCTGCTCTCGTCCTCAACTCCCCTTCTTTCTTGTTGACTTCCCGGAAAAGCAACGGAAGAGTCCTGGGCCGAAGGAGGCTTCTGTATGCTTGTGAAAAAGAACAATCTGTGTCAACGGAAGGTTCTTCAACAACTTTGCTGCAAAACATGTACATTCCAAGGCTGAGCAGCCATCTTAGATTTCTTTGTTTCTGTAGACTTATAGATTATTCCATACTATTAAAAAGAAAAAAAAAAAAAAGCCAAAAAACAAAACAAACAAAAAAAAAAGCAAGCCACCTCTCTCTTTCTTGCCCTTTCTCTCTCTCTCTTTTTCCCTTTCTCTCTCTCTAAGTTTGTGCAGGGAGATGGTGAACTGTTTTGTCAGAACTTAAATGGAAAAAAAAAATAAACCTACAACAAGCCTACCTTTTATAACTGGGTGTTTAGTGCTAAACAGCCAGAACCACAGAGACAGTATTGTATGACCAAAGTATTTGATGCCAAAATTTGATGTTAAGGTAATGATTTGATTTCCTGCCCTGGTTTTGAAGGTCCATTATTTTTTTTTCCCTTTTGCATTTACTTGCTTGTTTCCCCCTTTGAGACGCCTAAAAATACCTTTCCAAAACATCACAAGAGCATACATAGATCAAAATGAAACAGAAAGCTCTTGTATCAGTCATTTTTCATGCTTCATTCAGCCCACCGTTGGGGGAAATGACAGAAAACTGGACCTGAGGGCATTAAGAACATTCTACAGAGTTGTGTTCAGTGTCGTTTGTCTTAGTCTTTCACAGTTGAACATTGATACTTTCCACACATAATTTACTCCATGCGTTATGAACTGGTTTTTGCATTTCACTCACTTGATAAGTCTGCTCCACTGGTTTCATCAGATAGACTTGCTGCTGCTGGCTTTTTCAACGTAGATCGGGTTATTTTACATACAGTTGGTTAAATGGGATGGCTCTGTATAGCCAAATCAGTGATGGACAGAATGCAGAAGTACAGAATGCAGTACAGAATGCAGAATGCAGAAGTATCAAAGAGCTGAGAGACCCAGCTCCCCTGAAATCCAGAGTGTTAACTTTGTAGACCCTGCACAATCTTTTGGTGCTATCTAGCCATTATCCCCACAGCATTTTTTAAAGGCCATCAGAAATTCCATTTGTCATAATGGGAAGCATTTTGGATGCTACAGGAAATTTCTTTCTGGGGTCAAAAGTTTCTAAAAGGTTCTGTATTT